GGTTGGTTAGATGCACGTGACGTTTGCTTGCATAACACCAAGAGTACGTGTTTTCAGCATTAGATGAGATTTATAATAAGATTAGTTGGTATTTGTTCTTTTTGTCCTTAGAATGTTTTTTGTTTTTAAATAAACAAATATTTGTTAAACGTCACACATATGCATACACTGAAATTTTGGCACTAACCATATTGATTTTGATTAGTTTAATTAGTAAGTGTCCGTGAAGTTCAGTTTACGTTATTGAGACCTTAAGTTCTCCATATGACCATATCACATATTTGTTTACATCCATTATTTGATTGGTTATTCAAAATATAAACTTTAAAATAATTTATAACTTGTCTTTATAGATGTAAGATTTTAACTAAACAATACATCGTACCGACAATCTTTCCGCAATGTAATATTTTGGAATGGAACTTGGATCTGATTTTAGTATTATTATATTTGAAATGGATTTCAAATTGCATTATAGATAAATGAATATGTTTTACATCTTTTACTACTTGAAATCCGAACTTTGTTTTCATTCCATGTCGCACATGCAGCTAGTTGTCGTATAGAGTTTCTCACCAACAGAGCTTACATCAAGGCACGCAACATCATAGTCCATCTGAACTCAGCTTGCGTTTGAACAATATTCCATCTCCGACTTCAAGGTAAACCAAATGCATATCATTTGTTAAAAGAACCTAACACACATGCAAAACAATGATCATATATCTGATTTCAGCAAGTTCACGTACATGAGATTTTTCCTCAACATTGTCCAGAATGAGAGACAATTGTACCTGCTTATTGGTTGCAGATGCACCCGTTATTTTCGATCTAGGATTCCACGAATGTTCAATAGTCTAGTCTTAGAACTACTCAATCAAATATGCGTTAGCACCATTGGTATTGTGTTTTTCTTTTCAAACAAAAAAACTAATTAATCTCACAAATTCTTCTGTAACATGGTTCTAAAGAGGCAACATCTAATAGATGTTGTGCTATGAAAATATAAGAAACTATAAGATAAAAAAGCAATCAATTTGGTAGTTAAAAGAAAAATATATTTGTACAAATTGTTTGTAGCTACAGAGTCGGCAGCATACAACGAGTAAACCAAATATGAAATTGTTTAACGTGTGATCTCTAAAAGCATTATTAACACCAGCGTACAAAGAGATAACAAGATCATATGTTTGAATTATGAGATATGTGCGATTAACATCGAGAACTTAAGATTTTAGTGACCAAACATTCATGACTACGATACAACAAAATAAAGTTATAAATCAAGTCATATGGTCAATTTGTCAACGATATCAATCGAGAGAAATCTATACAATCTTATGTAAAACCTCAATAATGATTGTTGTGCCACTATAAAAAACTTCGATGACACATTTTCATGGGTTCGACCACACATAAGAATTTTCAGTCGACCTCCAGACTTGTTGATTGGACCAAAATCACTTAAAGGACCTGAATTAACATATGTATTCATACTTCATGATATACTAGATGATATATCTTTACAAACTTTTATATTTGCCGATGAATGAATGCGTTTAAAAGATTGGTGATAGAAATATCATCAAATGCTAGTGTCAAATTTATAATAATTATGAACCTATGGTTTCAAACAAAAAAAAAATTAGAAAATATGTTAATGAATTTGATGAAAAATCAATCAACTCAATTTAATTGAAAATTATTTTAAAGAATATATATTCTTCTTGCATGACACAGGGTTTCCAAGAGTTTTGCATGACATTAGCTCACTTGAACATCTTAATTCTGACCTTGATTGGTGTTCTTTAACACATGAGAAACTTGTACTTTATTTGTAAATTGTAGATCCATCAATCTACGTTTGCTTCAATAGTTTAGTCTTAAAATTAATCAATCACAACAACTCTACATGAATTAAATTATTAAGAAGTTCATCAATGTGAAGAAAATAGCCGCACATTTAGCTAATTGGAAAGAACAATGTGTCATGTATATAATACACAGAATATTATATACATGACACATTGTTAAATAGCCGCACGTTTAGCTAATTGGAAACACCCCACGCATGAGTGAGTTATTGCGGTGGCTTTGCGAACAGTTGCTACATAGTTCCATTGAGCTGTCCGAAATCTTTGTATACCTGTTGCAGTATGCAATATGACATCAGTTCAATCTAACTCTAGTCAAACACACAGAAGAAGAGCATGCAAATGCAAATACCTCTAGAAGAACTCGTTCTTGACAAAAAGTCTTCCGGACTGATCGGAGTAGACATGGAGGATGGATGACACAGAACAATAATCTTAAGAAACGACTCTGCGTACAATAATGAAACATTTGAATTACACACACAGATCCAATGTTCTGAAATGCAAATCGGATAGCAGCAACTTGGAAACTCTATTGGTCAATCCAAGTAAGGGTTGATATATCATCAATATGAAAGCAACTAGTTTCAAATTTACAGTCAACGCCCTCTGCATTTACAATTAATTAGTCGAACAAAATCAATGAAGTAACACAACCATTAATATCTCTAACTTGCTATACAACACAAATTGCAGTATTGCATATTCTTTAGGCACA